GCATCAGCATCAGCATCAACATAATCATCACAATCGTCATCATCAGCATCATCATCTTCATCAGTCTCATCACCATCACCACATCACAATCCCATCATCATCAAGAGCATCATCATCATCATCACCAACATCATCATCATCGTCATCATCATCATCAGCAGCAGCATCATCAGCATCGGCGTCATCATCAGCAGCATCATCAGCATCACTATTACCAGCATCATAATCATCATCAGCAGCAGTATGATCAGCATTGTCAGCACCATCATCAGCATCATCATCAGCATCATCATCATTACCATCATCAGCATCATCATCATCATCATCATCACCATCACCATCAGCAGCAGTATGATCAGCATCAGCAGCAGCACCACCACCAACAACACCCGTATCATCATCATCATCATCATCATCATCATCATCATCATCATCATCATCATCATCATCACCATCACCATCATCACCTGCATCAGCATCATCAGCATCAGCATCATCAGTATCAACCTCATCATCATCATCATCAGCAGCAGCATCATCATCCTTATCAGCATCGTCATCATCATCACCATCATCATCGTCATCATCATCGTCAGCATAATAATCATCAGCTTCATCATCAGCAGCATCATCATCAGCATTGGCATCATCACCGTCGTCCGCAACAACACGATCACCAGCATTGTCAGCAGCATCATCAACAGAGACAACAACAACATCATCAGCATCACGACGATCATCATCAGCAGTGTCAGCATCATCATCATCATCAGCATCATCATCATCATCATCAGCATCATCATCAACATCGTCAGCAACATCATCATCACCATCATCAGCAGCATCAGCAGCATTAACCTCATGCCCGTGAGAATAAACACTAGGGGATAATAAAGTTCGGGGTTCAGGGAGAGATAATAAAAGTAGCCCAGCAGACCTCAGCATAATCTCGAAGTAAGAGATGATCAAGAGGAGACCAAGCCGAGCACGTTTTGAGACATCCTTGGCGTTTAGTTTTCATAGAAATATCCTCAACAATGGCTTATCTCTCATGACAATTGTTTTTTGTAAGTGCTCGTGTAGGGTAGCTCATGTGCCTCAATTTCCATGGATAATCAACCCCAGAGATAAAAAAGTTCAGGCGAGCGTGGGGACAGAGAGAAATATAAAAGAAGAAGAATACAGTAGAAGAATAATAAGAAAGAAGAAGAAGAGGAGAATAAGAAGAGGACGAAGAAAGGAAAAATCCAAAGTTCCAAATCTATCAATTTTAATTTACAAACGCTTTATGAAAATTGATTTTTTAAGTGCTCGTGTAGGGTAGCTCATGTGCTTCATTTTCCATGGATAATCAACCCCAGGGATAAAAAAGTTCAGGCGAGCGTGAGGACAGATAGAAATATAAAAGAAGAAGAGGAAAGTAGAAGAATAATAAGAACATTGCTCGTTTCGTTTGAGTCTGCCTCCCAAAATTATTGGTTTCGCTTGACACATCCTGAAAAAGTGTGATCGCTTCGCTTGATGTTGCTATATCAACATCGCTTGATGTTGCTATCTCAACATAGCGTTTCGAGGTGATAATGAAGTTCGGCCTCAGCGCTCGCCGCCCAATTTGAATTTTGTATAGGGCGACGATAATCAACTCTAAACACTGAAGGGGGGGTCCCTTTATTATCATCGGCATGCGGTTATCATGTTGAGCATCCTCGTCACCACCATCATCATCAGCAGCAGCATCAGCATCAGCATCATCATCCTCGTCACAAGCATCATCTTCATCAGCATCATCGGCATCATCATCAGCATCATCATCACCATCAGCATCATCAGCAGCATCAGTATCATCATCAGCATCATCACCACCATCATCTTCCTTATCGCAATCATCATGATCATCATCATCATCAGCAGCAGCATGATCATCATCAGCAGCAGCATCATCACAAGCAGCATCATCACCACGATCATCATCACCATCATCATCACCAGCACCATCAAAATCACCGTCAGCATCAGCATCAGCATCATCAGCAGCAGCAAACACCATCATCATCATCAGCATCAGCATCACCACAATCATCATCAGCATCGTCATGATCGTCACCATCATCATCATCATCATCATCAACAACATCATCATCATCATCATCATCATCATCATCATCATCATCATCATCATCATCATCATCATCATCATCATCATCATCATCATCATCATCATCATCGGCACCACCATCACATCAGCATCGCCACCGCCATTATCCTCCTCCTCCTCACACTCCTCCTCCTCCTCCTCCTCCTCTTCTTCTTCCTCCTCCTCATCTTCTTCCTCCTCCTCATCCTCCTCTTCCTCCTCGTCCTCCGCTTCCTGCCTTCATCTCCTCCATGAATTTGCATGAATGCACGGCTGCATACCCGCCCCGACCATGGTAGCCGCTGTCTCGCAGCGCGCGTCCAGGGCCCCCTGGAGCGCCGTGCGTATGCGGAGTAAGAGCGGCCCCTGCCCCTGCCCACAGGCCGTTCTCAGTCAAATGGCGGCAGGCAAACATGCTAGCCGCTGCGTGGTGGACGACAGTAGCAGGACCGACACACTGCGAGTAACAACGGCGCGGCCGCCTAACGCAAGTGCGCCTGGCATTAGCTGAACCCTTCTCGGTCATGGCTACGAGTGCACGTACACGTCGTTGGTCTCTTCGAGGGGACTTTGCAGGGAGCATCGCCGCGACCCCCATACAATCCATGGTACGGCGAGCTAGGACCACTATCATTTGCAAGTCGGCGCCGAGAGAGAAAACTAAGCTAGGGCGGTCCACGTTCAGCCCCTGGCGAGCCGAAGCTTGATCGCGTCTCTTTGCCAGAAGCCTGCGTTACGGTACGAAGAACTTCGCTTCCAACACATCCGCTCCGCCCAAATGAGTTGCTGCTAAATCCGATCTGCAGCCATGCCTCAGCACTGCCTCATTGGAACAACATCTGGCGCGAGGCTGTTGGAGAGAGGAATCGTGCCAAAGAAAAGCGATCAGGAAAACGAAGACAGAGAAGACGAGCTGGGCTTCAATTCGCAGGGTGGGCGGGGTGGGGTGGGGGGGGCCATATTCGGGTCATCTTGAAGGAGCTCGATCGAAGAAGGGGTTATAAATCAGGCCTTCCCCCCCCCCAGGAGGCCAACATGGGCCCAATGCCTCAGGAAAATCCGCCGACACCTTGTGGGTCTCTAGGCGTGTGAGATTATCCCTCCCCCTTAATCACCCCCCCAAGGACCCCAAAGCGGCAACTTGACCCCCCCCCCACACCCCACTGGCCCGGCGCGACCCCGGACCGAACGCGCCACGGGAGAGCGGAGGGCTCCCAAACGGTCACGAGGCACCAAAACGCTCCCCCAGACGGTCCCAGAGGGCCACGAGTCACCGAAATATCGCTCTCTGACGCCCACGATGGCCTCCAGACGGCCTCCGAAGCTGCCAAGACGCCCCTAAAGGCCCCCAAGATGCGTCCCAAGAGGGTCTCAAGAAACAGAAATCGCCCCATACCCTGTGAAAAAATTCGCCGGCCCAACGGGCCACAGGCGTGCTAAGATCTCCGGTAACTGGTTAACAATATTTCTAGTTCGCGCGCGCGGGGCGGCCCCTGGAGGTCCCCCGGCGAAAAATACCCCGACCTCCGCCAGACCGCAGCCCGGCAACTGCTACTCAGAGATGGTTTTCCTCCTGGGTGCGGTCTCTGAGGCCCCCCAGAGCGCGCCAAGAGGGCCCCAAGAGGCCTCCAAGACAGCCCAAAAGCGTTCCGAGTCACCGAAAGAGCGGTCCACGACGCCCCAGATGGCCTTCATACGGCCCTGGAGGCCGCCGAGAAGCCCCAAGAGAGCCTCAAGAGGCTCTCCAAGAGGGCTCCAACAAGCAAAAATCGCCCCATTCCCTATGGAAAATGTCCATTTTCCGAATATACGACGTCTGGGGTTCACAGCGTCCAAACGTGCCCAAGAGGCCCCCAAGATCGCCCCAAGACGGCCCAACAAACCACCAAGATAAGCCCAAGAGGGCCCAAGAGGGCCCCAAGACAGTCCCAGAGACCTCCAAAATGGCCCAAGACGCCTCCGAGACAGCTCTAAAAGCGAGCCCAGACGGGGCACCCGAACGGACATTTCGAGCTTTTGGCCCGGAGAGGTTCCCAGGAGGCTCCAAGAGGCCGCCAACACGCCTTCAAGAGGCCCACGGAGGCCCCCAAAAGGCCCTCAGGAGGCCCCAGGAGGCCCCCCAGAGGCTCCCAAGAAGCTTCGAAGAGGCTCCCAAGAGACCCCACGGAGGCACCTTCTCCACGACCAAGTTTGGCCCCACAATGCTTCCAGAAGCCATCGAGAGGCCTCCTCCTCATGCTCATCCACCTTCCTTTTCCTCATTCTCGCCTCCTCCTACTCCTCCTCGCACCGAGGCCCTCCTTGGGCCGTCTTGGGGCTCTCTTGGGCTGTCCTGAGGCGCGCTGAAGCCGTTTTGAAGCCCTCTTGAGAGCCTCTGGAAACGTTTTGGGGCCGCCGCTCCCTGCAGCTCCGCACTGCCGACGACCTCTCGGCCAGGCCACCGCGGTGCGCAATATGGGCCGGCGGAATGAGCGAAGCGGTTAATAATATGTTTTGCATACTCGCCTTTTCGGATTTCAAAAAGTACAGGACGGGCAAAGAAACCTTCAATATCGCCCCCGGACGGCCGAAGAGGCCCCCAAGAGGGGTCGAAGAGGGGCCAAAAACAGCCCACGAAGCCCCCAAGACAGCCCAACAGGGCCCCCAGACGGCTCCAAGAGGGAGTCCAGAGGGCACCTTTTCGAGCCTTCGGCCCCAAGACGCCCCCAGCCTGCCCCAAGAACACCCCAAGAGGCCCTGAGGGACCCCCAAGAGAACCTCAAAGGCCTCCAAGAAGCTCCCAGAAGCCCCCAAGAGGCCTCAAAACTTGCCTCGAGGCGGTCGGATATGGTCTGCGGACAGGCCAGGATGCCTCCAAAAGGCCACAAAAGACAGGAACGATGTCGAGCGCCGTGTCATGATTCAGACAAGCCTCGTGAAAAGCAGTACAGGAGGCGTTATACAGAGGTCGGCAGATGTGGCGCAAGCCTATAGAATCATAGATGTTTACCCTCTCGCCGAGGCCACCTTGAACGCTCCAGTGGGTCGCGAACCCCCCCCCGTTCAGGTCCAGGGGATGGGGGGGCCGGTGGCAGCGGCAGGGGCCGGGGCAGGAGTCGGGGCACGAGGGGCGGCAGCGGCGAGGGCGGGGGCGGGACGACGACTATCACGACGGCAACGGCGACGAGCGCGCAAGTGGCAGGGGCTGGGGGCAGGGGAGCGGCAAGAGGAAGGGCGAGATGGGTGGGAGAGAAGTGCGGGGCAGGAGGAAGGGGGGGAAGGGGAGAGGCTGCACGGGGCAAGGGGAGCTGGCCACGGCACCAGGGAGAGGTGGCCCAGGGCGAGCCACGTGCGGTCGCGCCAGATCTGACATCCTACTCCCACCCAGCCCTTCCCATTGCGCCCGTTTTTCTCTGTCCACCAACGTGTGTCATAGCGGACTCGGACCTCCACACTGGACCCCACCGTGTTGCGCACAATCGCACAGGGAAGCTGTGCACTTTGGAAGAGGAGGCGGATGAGCAGGAGGATGGCCAGGACGAAACAAGATGAAGAGGAGGAGGAGGAGGAGGAGGGAGGGAAGGAAGGAACGAGGAAAACGAGGACGAACACCAGAAGCAGCAGGAGCTGGAATGGAAAGAGCCAGAGGAACAGCAAGACCACGGGAACCCGGAAAATGGCAAATGAGGGGGGGGCAAAGATGAAAAAGGCCTGGGATCCAGCTAAATGGCCCGCGCTGTGGCGAGAGCGCAATTCTGAACGACGGGGGTAAAACGCCGCAAACCTCACAACAACACACTTTATTCATTGGATCAAAAACCATACGCGGAGAGAGCCGGCTACCTCCCTAACAGAGACAGGGCAAAGAGGAGATTTAGGTTAATCCGGCACCGTGCCTTGTGCACAGTGGGACGCGCACGAATGCCAAAGTCTGTCGGGTCGGGGATTTTAACTTTCTTCCGCCCCCCCCCCGCTCGACGAACTGAACTGCATCGCCCTCCCGTCCCGAGGCCACAATCCCTTGGAAAATACCATAGATTCGTAGGGCCAAATGCTTCCAAGACGGCCAAGTATCGTTCCGAAACGAGCCACTCTAGCCTCAAGACGGCCCAACATGGCTTCAAGACAGCCCACGAAGCCGTCGAGACGTCACGGGAGAACCCCAACAGTCGCCCCAAGAGGGCCTCGAGAGGCAAAAATGATTGATGTTAGACGGCACAAGAGGGCTCCAACACGGCCCACGAAACGCCCAAGAGTGCCCATGAGGTTTTTTTTTCCAAGGGTCAACGCTTGTCCCATCCACTCGGCCACCGCATGCACGTGCTAGCCCACACTCTCAGCGATGAAGAGAAGAACCATGAGTAGATACTCGCATACGTGGTGCTTGCCCGTTCCAAGTAAACCCTGGGGGTCCAGATGGGAAACTGCAAAAAAAAGGAGGCAATGGGAGGGAGACTTGAGCAGGAGCAACTGCGGAGGAGAAAGAACATGTCTCTCTCACTCAGAACCTCTATCCCGCGCTCACGTCACAGGTTCCACTGCGCACGAACAGGAGGCTCCTGACTTTTACGGCCCGCATTTGTCTTACCAACTCGGCGACCGCAGTCACGATGTGGCCCACCCTCTCCACGATGAGGAAAAAAACACATGTATAATCGCATGCGTGATGTTCGCCCCATACCAAGTCGCCCCAAATATGAACGCTGATGGGTGAATTGAATAGGAGTACGGCGCGATTGCTGGCGCCGTCCGAACAGAGGAGCTTGGCTAGAAAATAGGATAGACCAGTTGGATGTGTGCGCCTGAAACGTCATAGCCCGTTTCCCCACCTCGAAATGCCGACGATTCATGAAATCCCACCAGCCCTCTGGGCGTCGGTGGTTTAGAGCGTTTCCTCTTCCACCCCTCCTTCTTCCCCTTCGGGGAGGGGTTTACCCCTCCCCCTACCCCCTCCCCACTGACCTGGACAGGGGGTTCCGCGGCGCGTTGGAGCGCCCAAGATGGCCCAAGACGGCTCCAAGAGGGCCTCAGGGAGCCCAAGATACCCTCCAAGATGGCTCAAGATAGCGCAAGATGCCTCAAGATGGTCCCCATGATGTTCCAAGACGTTCCAAGAACTCTCCAAGACGGTTCCAAGTGCCCACAAGAGCATCATTAGGATGCATCCAAGAGGCCAAAATGCGTCAACACCCTAGGGAAAACCGATGTTTTTGGTGTTCTCACTTTTTCGCTTGCGATGCACATCCGAGGCGTCAGGATGGCTCCAAGATGGCTCAAGATAGCTCCAAGAAGGGCCCCAGAGAGCCTCAGGATGGCTCCAAGAGCGGCCACGAGCGCTCCAAGAGCGATCCAAGAGGGGTCCAGGAAACGATTTTTGGAGTTCCTGG